CCTGCAATCACAACAGTTACAAATATTAGAGGGAGAACTGAGGCATCAGAGCTGGAAATGCGCTCTTTAAAATGACCTGTATTATACCAAAGGTGACAGAGACAGAGTCACTGTAGATTTGCCTCATTAGCATTCGTTCTCCTACAGAACGTTTCTTCCACCCATTAGAGCCATGAGTGGAAAGCAAGCTTCTCTCTGCCATACTGACCTTCAGAAAGGGAACAACAGGGCTGTATTTGAGGGGGAATGCCATCCTCCCTCAGTCAAAAACAGCCATCCCCCTTTTCCGTCCCATTTGGATTGATGTGATATAACTTAATAACTCTATTATCAGTTTTTTCATTCCATCCAGGTGTGAGATTTCCACACTGCCAGAGTTCTTCATGTAAGATAAGCAGGCTCTGAACAGAGCAGATCATGCACACTTACAGAAGAGGTTTTTATGAAGAATTGGATGTGTTCACTGTTCGCTGGTTTTGCTATATAATATAGTAATAACAAATGCTGTGCTGCACTAAATCTGATTAAACAGAGCTAATTATGTTCTCTTTGTAATGAAACATGAGGTTGGTGTACTGTAAGCACTGATGATATACACCATATACTCAGAAAAGCATATTTTGGCATAATTTATCATAATGATGATACATATCTTCATATTGCCCACCTTGAATTAATAGGACAATGTAAATTTGTGTATTTTGGATGAAGGATTCCTATGCGTAGAGTAGAGATGCATTCAAATAAGCATGGCGAACACATTTATATCCATATCTGAAATTTTAAATCTGGTCCATTTGCTTGTTTTGAGCACAAATCTCAAGAAATTTTTAAATTTAAAGACCTCATATCACAGAAAACTTAATTTTTCATTAGAAGAATCTAATGTAGTATGGAAATATTGCTAAAGTTTCAAAATGTATTGTTCACTCCCAGCTCCATATGAAGTTAATCTGTGAAGCCTTTTCAGCCTTCATACATTTAGCTCCTCCCACTCACACTGTTTCCACCTGGACTGCTTTTTCAGGGAGGCACAATACAAGGCAAATCAGAACAGAGCTCAAAACAGAGCACCAGTCTTACCGGCACAGTAACCACAGCACGTTTAATTCTAAGCGATAAAGAGAGGTTGGAAAACGGTCATGTAAAAATTAATTATGACCATTTTTGGTTCCTCAAAAATGTCATAAGTGGACCTCAGGAAAATAAATACAACCCCATTTCCAAAAAAGTTGAGACGCTGTGTAGAATGTAAATAAAAAATAAGATGCAATTATGTGCAAATCATGTAAACCATATTTTTTTTAAAGAAAAATACTACAAAGACAACAAATCAAATGTTGAAACTGAGAAATTTTAAATTTGATGCCACCAACACATTCCAAAAAAGTTGGGACAGGGGCATGTTTACCACTGTGTTACATCACCTCTTCTTTTAACCACACTCTGTAAGCGGTTGGGAACTGAGGAGACACTGCTGTAGTTTTAAACAGTGAGATGTTTTTCGTTCTTGTTTGATATAGGATTTCAGCTGCTCAACAGTTCGGGATCTCTTTTGTCATATTTTCATTTCATAACGCGGAAATTTTTTTCAGTGATGGCAGGTCTGGACTGCAGACAGGTCAGTTTAGCACTCAGACTCTTTTAATATGGAGCAATGCTGTTGTAATACATGCAGAATGTGGTTTGACACTGTCTTGCTGAAGTAAGCGAGGCCTTCCCTGAAAAAGACGTCATCTGGATGGCAGCACATGTTGCCAAAACATGTATATATCATTCAGCATTAATGGTGCCTTCACAGATGTGCATGTCACCCATGCCATGTGCACTAATGCACCCCTGTACCATCATGAATACTGGCTTTTGAACTGTGTACTGATAACAAGCTGAGTGGTCTTTAACCAGGAGGACACAGCGTCCATGATTTCCAAAAAGAATAGATTTGTCAGACCACAGGACACTTTTCCACCTCCCCTCAGTCCATTTTAAATGAGCTCAAGCCCAGAGAAGGTGGCAGCGTTTCTGGTTCCTGTTTATATATGGTTTCTTCTTTGCATTTTAGAGTTTTAACTTGCATTTGTGGATGCAGTGATGAACTCTGTTCAGAGACAGCGCTTTTCAGAAGTGTCCATGCAGTGAGTCCATGCAGTGATTTCCACTACAGAATCATGCCTGTATTTAATGCAGTGCCACCTGAGGGCCCAAAGATCACAGCCAGCAAATCCTGTTTTTTGGCCTTATCCCTTACATACAGAGATTTCTCCAGAGTCTTTGAATCTTTTAATGTTATCATGTACCATAGATGATGAAAAGCAAAAGTTCTTTGCCATATTACGTTCTTGAATTGTTGCACTATTTGATTGTGCAGACTTTCCAGAGTGGTGAACTCCTCCTCATCTTTACTTCTGAAAGACTCAGCCTCTCTGGGAAGCTCTTTTATACCCAATCATGTATATGACCTGTTGCCAATCAATCACCAGGTGTTTTTTTTTTACCATTACACAACTTTACCAGCCTTTTGTTGCCCCCATCCCAACGTTGTTGGCATCAAATTCAAAATGGGCATATAGTTTTCAAAAAAAAGGATAAAAAGTCTCAGTTTCAACATTTGATTTTCTGATACTTTGTTCTGTTGTTATTGACTAGAGTAGAATTTCGCTGCTGTAAAGTGCACAGCTCTTTTAGCAGAAGCTGTGCTGCACTTTAGGAAATGATGCATTAGTGTGCGGTATTGCATGCAGCAAGAATCAATATTGGTAAAGAAAGGCTAATGAGGTAGATCCGTTATTCTCTCTGCCTGCTGAGAGTGAGGCAGATATCATAATAATGTAAAAATGTTAATCATCAACTGTACCCTGGTTCAAAGCAACACAACACAAGACAAAGCAGAGTGTGAGATGCCAGAAACCTTCTTCTAGTGGCGTACCACTACATGAAAAAAACATTCATTTCCTCAACAGAACTTCTGAAGCATTTTCATTTTGAGGAGGATAGAAAAGATATTCACACGTAATAGCTCCTCAGCAGGAGCCTGAATTCACTCAGACCCCCCCAACGGCTGTGATGAAGGTGATCGGTGCTTCGTATTGAATAAACCCCAAATTACACCTGCAGGGAGAGGATAAGCCGTGATAGCAGCAGATCAATAAAAGGGCAATAAGGTCTCCTCAAGCTCACTCCTCATTTTCGGTCATTTACTGAACAGGGAGCTTTGTCACTTCATTATAGCGCATGTTTAATATTCATACTGTGTTGGTCTAAAGTGACCTATGGTCTAATATGAAGTTTAAAGCAGCCAAAGAGTTTCTTTGTTTGTATTGTTCCATTATTTATCTCTTCCGTTGTACATAAGTGGTCCACAAAGGATAGAATTTAATCTTTTTGATTTTAAAAATATGGCTTTTTTGTTTGTCAACTTTTGCTTATTTTTTGGCACCAAAAAAATGCAAAATGTAAATAAAAACAAAATGCAATGATGTGTAAGTCATTTAAACCCTATATTTAATTGAAAATACTACAAAGACAACATATCAAACATATGCCCATTTTGAATTTGATGCCAACAACACATTCCAAAAAAGTTGGGTGGGGGCAACAAAAGACTGGTAAAGTTGTGTAATGCTAAAAAAACACCTGGTGATTGATTGGCAACAGGTCAGTAACATGACTGGGTATAAATGAGCTTCCCAGAGAGGCTGAGTCTTTTAGAAGTAAAAATGAGGAGGAGTTCACCACTGTGTGAAAGACTGCACGATCAAATAGTGCCACAATTCAAGAGTAACGTTTCTCAACATAAAACAGCAAAGAACTTTTGCTTTTCATCATCTACGGTACATAATATCATTAAAAGATTCAGAGAATCTGGAGAAATCTCTGTATGCAAGGGACAAGACCAAAAACCAATATTTGCTGGCCATGATCTTTGGGCCCTCAGGCGGCACTACATTAAAAACAGACATGATTCTTAGAGGAAATCACTGCATTTCCCAAATGCTTACAGAGTGTTGTTAAAAGAAGAGGCGATGCAGCACAGTGATAAACATGCCCCTGCCCCAGGTTTTTTGGAATGTGTTGTTGGCATCAAATTCAAAATGGGCATATATTTTTCAAAAAACAATGAAATTTCTCAGTTTCAACATTTGATTTGTTGTATTTGTACTATTTTCCTTCAAAAATATGTTTTACACGATTTGCACATAATTGCATTCTATTTTTATTTACATTCTGCACAGCGTCGCAACTTTTTTTGGAAATGGGGTTATACATATAGTGTACACATACCCATATGTGCATTCCCCTATTACATACCCGACATGGATCATTCTACTGAATTGGGTCAGAGTTGATAACACATTTCGGACTTTTAACCAACTTGGACATTCCATTTTGTCACAACCAAAACAATCATAACACTACCAAAACTTTACCAAATATTTTGGTAGTGACTGTTTTGACTGTTTAGCTAATTTTGAGCATAACTCAAAAACTCTTTACATGACTAGCAAACACTAGCAATATATATATATATATATATATATCTGTGTGTGTGTGTGTGTGTGTGTGTGTGTGTGTGTGTGTGTGTGTCTTTTTCTCAGCAGTAAGTGATTTTTTGCTCGTAATACCACCAAATATTATTACAATAAACAGAGATAAACAAAAACAGTAAAAAAATGTACAATGATGTTGTCTTTTTTTCAATTAAGTAGTTATGTTGTGAGCTCGTTTGAGAACAAATAGTTCCAGATTTCTCCTGAATCAAAATCAATTGGTATAAATCAATTCTGTCAGGTGCCCAAAACTTTCGCACAGTATGTGGCATACATGTTGGCATTGCCTCAAAGATGTTTCATTTATTTGTATTTACTATACTAAACAACAATATGCAGTTTACGAAGGCATTATGTGTACAAATGTTTAGTCTTGCATTATGTCTGTTGCTTATTTTAAGACAAATTTAAAATACAAACATAAATTAATGTTTTTATGTCTCTCTTTTGCAGATACTGGCCATCATTTCCATCCTGTTCATCATCCTGTCAACTATTGCATTGTCCCTGAACACCTTGCCTGAACTCCAAGAGACAGATGAGTTTGGCCAACCCAACGATAATCCTCAACTTGCACATGTTGAAGCAGTATGCATCGCATGGTTCACAATGGAGTACCTCTTGCGCTTCCTGTCTTCACCAAACAAGTGGAAATTCTTCAAAGGGCCATTGAATGTCATTGACTTATTAGCCATATTACCTTACTATGTCACTATTTTTCTTACCGAGTCAAACAAAAGTGTGCTGCAGTTCCAGAACATGCGGAGAGTGGTGCAGATATTCCGCATCATGAGAATATTGAGAATCTTGAAACTGGCCAGGCATTCGACTGGACTGCAATCCCTTGGATTCACCCTTCGACGCAGTTACAATGAGCTTGGCTTGCTCATACTGTTCCTGGCGATGGGAATTATGATATTTTCAAGCTTGGTGTTCTTTGCAGAGAAAGACGAGGACGCCACAAAATTCACGAGCATCCCAGCTTCATTTTGGTGGGCTACCATCACCATGACAACAGTTGGCTATGGAGATATTTATCCGCAGACTCTACTTGGCAAAATAGTTGGTGGACTTTGTTGTATCGCTGGTGTACTGGTCATTGCCTTACCGATTCCCATCATCGTAAACAACTTCTCAGAGTTCTATAAGGAGCAGAAACGTCAGGAGAAAGCCATCAAGCGAAGAGAGGCCTTAGAACGGGCAAAGAGGAACGGCAGCATTGTTTCTATGAACCTGAAAGATGCCTTTGCTAGAAGCATGGAGCTAATGGATGTTGTAGTAGAGAAAAATGAAGACAAACCTTCAATGGATAACCACCTGTCACCAAGCAGGTGGGGCATTCCCAAGCGTACAACCTCGGATGCCAGCCTGAGGTCTTTAAAGAAGAAGTCTCTAGAAAGTTCATCACAAGAGTGTATCAAGACCTCAAGCCCACAGCACCTCAATGCTCAGAAACTGGAGGAGATGTACAACCAGATGACTAAGGCTCAGTCCTTCTCAGATCTCAACACAACGGCGTCAACAGAACCTGCGGAGGAGCCAAAACAGGAGGTGGAGTTAGAGATGAAAGACATGCCAGAACCTCAACCCAAGGAAAGAGCCATCCCGGATGTAAGAAGCATATCAAGTGTGGACAGCTTTGCAAGCTGCACTGCTGAATTCGGAGAGGCTGATAAGTCAGTTCCCCCTCCGGGTACAGCAGTCCAGTTTCAGCAAAGATATCCTGAAGTGCCTCCATTTGTCGAGGTCAAACAGTTGATGCCATGCAACACGGCGAAAAATGCAGAAGGTCCGTCAGAAAGTAACCAGTTTGAGCTTGAACAGGACAACCAACCCAGCATCCAGGAATCTTCCAGAGAGGACAGTGAGAACTTTGCTCAGTTTGTAGAGAATACCAGAAGTTGCTTGCAAGGCACAAACCCAGCTAAGATGAAGAGCCTCAAAGTAAACTTCTTAGAAACTCTTGAAGAAGCTCCTTTGACGCCACCCAACACTTCTTCGCCTCAGGATATTAGCAGCAGTCTCCTGGAGGACGACTCTCCAGATGGAGAATCTTCTCCTCTCTTTTCAGATTCAGAACCACTGGCCACGATCCCGGAGGAAGGTCTAGTCCTTTCCCCGATAGTCCTGGCCGGTGATTTCCATCCGGAACAGACTGCATTGCTCTTGCCAGATGATGGGGAACCACAGGGTTTCCATCAGTCTGCAGATAACCACGAGGAGAAACATCTCATGGAAGTGGCGGGCGCCGCCGTTCCTTTGCCCAAGCTTTCTTCACAGAACTGCACTCAGGATGTGGTCAGCGATAACGGGCAGGACAAGCCAGACAGTAACCAAAGTGGACACAAGGTAGAGAATCACATGTTTACACCAGAGATACATCTAATGCCAGGAGACGGCAATCTCTCGCCAACCTGTGAAACCAGCATGTGACTGCGGAGGGTGGAAGCTGAGTGACAAAAAAGAGACACAGATGTGCAGTGATAGAGAGATTTTGCATGGCATGAAAAGTCCCTTTTAACTGTGTCATTGTCTATAGAAAACAGTGTCCTTGCAGACAAGACTGGTGGAGAATGCGGGCAGAAAAAGGAGGAAGCTCATTCAGAGCATATTTATCCAACATGAACATACTGCTGACGTGACAATACATTTGAACTTCATTTTATTTTATAGCAACAATGAGAAATGCAGAGGGGGACAAATCTTGAAAAGCATGCATAAAAAATGTAATTTTACGGTGCTTAGTTTGCTGAAAGCGCTCCACTGTAAATACAGAGAGGACTATGGTAAAGACAATGCACATAGCCACAGAAGACAAAAGAAATGTCAAACTCACAGGAAATATTGTGCTTCAAAGACTGAAGGGTCAGTTCCAAAATAGTGACATACTGAAACATATCATTAGGCTACTTAACATGGAAATGCAATGTGTACCATGACAAAGATGTCTTTTTTATTTTGTTCAGGTTGAAGTATAGTCTGTAATTAGGGCTGGGTATTGTTCAAAGTTTTTCGATGCTGATACAGATACCTAGACTTTGACACTGATTCCTGAATTCGACACCTTTATTTAAATCCAACAAATATTCAGATTAAAGTCAAAAAGTCAGCTGTAGTAAGGGTGTCTGTTTGCTATTTGTATTTGTACACTAATGTTCAAAAGTTTGGAATCACTTTATTGATTTTATTACTTTATTACTTTATTACTCTTTATTACTCATTTTTGCTATTTTCTATACAGCGACAACTTACAGTCAACAGTGCAATCCAGGTTTAAATACTCTAAGCTAGACAACAGAAGATATTTTTAGATTTCCTGTTCAATATTTCACATAATTTAGCTGCAAGAAAAATTCAAGGATACATATTGTATACTGTAAGTATTTGTCTGTAGGATATCTGCCTCATGATATACTATTCTATATATTCATTTTCAGCATATTTCAGAATAATTTTAGAATCATCTACAGTTCTCATCAAAGTTCTGGACACATCTAACATTTCATAATTTTGTCTGTTTATTTTTTATTATGTCATTTTGTATTTGACAGTCTCCTGCCAGGGTTGTTATCATTAGTAAAACTATTATTAAAAACATTACAAATGAAAAAAAAGACAATTTTGTGAATTTTTAGTCTTTTCAGTGCATGAATGACAGTCCTGATGTGGTCTTCTGTGTCAAACCTTGAATACACAGCAGATGCCGCTGTCCTTGCACAACCTAGCTAAGTATACTGTTTTTGTTGTTTTCTGTTCTATCTCATCAGAAAAGAGACTAATTTGGAATTTCACCCCAATTTCTGTCAAAATATTCACAATGATAGTAATAAATAAAACCTAAATTTCACTAATGAAATGTCCAAAACTATGCTCTGCTTCCTATTAATTATTTATAATTATATAAAGTTACCTAAGACACCCAATTATCACAATAATTTTAGACAATTTTATAAAACCAAACTGTTTTTATATAATTGAAAACAGTGATTCCAAACTTTTTGAACCAAACTGTACTTGCATGCAAAATAAAAGTGGGTGTGGCTTTTTGGGCATCCCTGGACTAAATCCATGTTTGTTTGATTTTCTAAGTGAAAATACGTTAACACACCCTGTGCAGAGAACACACTTCTGCTGACTGTTTATTTACTGATTTTAACAAATAACAAATAAACAGTCCATAAAATGTGGGCTGTGCAAAATTATGGCACTTTTTATATTCTTTGTCTTATTTCCTCCAGTATGTCAAATATTAGAAATTTGTAGAATTTTGTGCTAAAGTTTGCAGAAAATGCCTTTTTTTCAGTTTGTTCACTTATTTTCACTTAGAAAATAAACAATTTAGACAGCAATCTAGATTTTGGAACAAGTGTGATTGAAGTAATTTGTTCGGTACCATAAAAGTGTAGAACATCGATACCCAGCCCTATCTGTAATATTAACAGAATTGTTTGTTTGCCTAGTACTTGGTTAGCTATTCAAGTTAACATCATTTACCACGTAGACTTAATGACCAGAAGTGTGGTGAAGGACCACGCCACTTGCCTATGATATCCAGAACAGTACCTATTTATGTAGCTACCAAACAAAAACAACAATTATTAATCAGTAAACTACAACATTAGTAGTAGATCACAAAGTTACAATGGTGATACCTAGATTAGCAAAGTTACCTTTAAAATTAGCTTTAAAATACAAAGTCTCGTGGCCTAATTTTGACTCTGTAACTAAGAAATGGGCCACATGCATGCACGTCTTAACGTAGTTTTACGGCTCAAAAGCACAACAGTCAATTAAAAACATAGTGGCTTGCAAGTAGAAGGTTAATATTTATCATCAATCAGCCCAGCAAACAAGTTAGTAGCTCTGGTCATTAAATCTTGCATATGATTTTCACACGTTTTTCTTTTATTATTCAAAAATAGCAGTGAGAAGTGACATTATACTTGTCGGAGGACCAAAAAAGCACGTTTTTGATTTACACATCGTCTTCATATCTACTGAAACATGAATTATTTCACTGTAATTTCACACATACACAGTTCTTTTGTCTCTTGGCTTCAAAACGATCCGTTTTTAAGATCATTTTACATATTGGACTGTGAATATAACATTATATCATGTTGTGCTGAGGTGATTTCAGTCAAACCTAAGCCCAAAGTTTTATTTTATACTATTGTTTTCTGTCACACGGAGAGAATATTTGTTTTATGTTGCCTTTATTGAAATATTGCTGCGTTTTTCTTGCTTTGTGGCGATCAGCCGAACTCTGTGTTGTGTTCTTGAAGGTTACGAAGGTAAGCAAAGTGGAAGAAATGCGAGCAGGATATATATATATATATATATATATATATATATATATATATATATGTATATATATATATATGTATATATATATATATATATAAAAGACCTCACAGTTTCAGGATAGATGGTGGAAAGTGCAATACAGCATACTGCAATCTATGCAGGCCAAGAATTATGGCACTTTATTTACAGTCCAATGGATTTGTAAGTGTACAGGCAGAAACTACACTTGTATTTTTCAGATTATATATCTTTAATATTTGAAAACAGTGTTACTACCGCTCAAAAATGACTCTTTCACATTTTACAGCAGTATTGTGCTGCGGCTGTTCCTTATAAATACAAATAACCTTCAAATCCAGTCCTGCTTTTGGAAAAAGTATTATCAGATTTGGCCTTTTTAATTGTGTAAAAAAACAGGTCAGGATGTGAAAGCGATCTAAATGGCCGCACACAAAGTATTTTACGTTTTGTGAATTGCCGCCGATGATGATAATTCTATTTTTTCTAAAACCAAAAAGCGAGCACGACCACGTTTTCCTGCCATATGGTGGTTGAAATGATGTGTGCCTGTTCATAAAGTGGTTTATGAGGAGGCCGCACATCATTCTGCTTTGTTCGTATAGCACTGTACAGAAAATTCTACTTTTTATAGGAGAAGAAAAATCAGGTCTTTAAGTAATAGATATGAGTAATATTATTAAGTTCTCAGGTTTTCTACAAAAATAATGTTCTGCTAGAGCAGTAGTGTTTGTTTTTTCTTCATTTGAGAATGTCATCGACTTTTTCTTCGTCCAATGCTTGTTAATCGGAAAACACAATAAATAGCGTCTGAATATTCAACACCACTCAATATCCATGCACAGCATTACGCAACATGAGTCTTTATCGTGCTCTGTGTGTCGTACAAACTGAGGGTCAGCGATGAATGTGGTGGCAAAAGAGCGGCTGCATGTTTTATCTCTGGCACAAAATCAGCGTTATGACAAGAGGTCAGACTTACAGCCTTAAGGAAGGAATAAACGAGTGTGATGAATGTGAGCTGGAGATTTTCTGTTTTTTGCTGCTGTTCTTCTGTACAGTATAGAAGCTCGTTTCCTCTGCTGAAAAAAAAAATCAGCAGTCAGTAATAGTGGGAACGTTTCACATAATTACGACATAGCGTAGTATTTTTAATCATAATGTCCTATCTTACAATAATAAGATACTAATTAGTATCTCATAATTATGACTTACTTGTTCATAATTGACTTGCTATCTCAGAGTAATGAGATCCTGTATCTTATTTACAACTTAGTATCTCATAATTTTGACTTGCTATCTCATGGTAATGACATCCTGTCTCATATTTACTACTTACTATTACATAATTATGACTTGGTATCTCATAGTAATGACATCCTGTCTCATATTTACTACTTACTCGTTCATAATTATGACTCGCTATCTCAGAGTAATGAGATCCTGTCTCTTATTTACAACTTAGTATCTCATAATTATGACTTGCTATCTCATGGTAATGACATCCTCTCTCATATTTACTACTTACTATTTCATAATTATGACTTGCTATCTCAGTAATGAGATTCTGTCTCGTATTTACAATTTAGTATCTCATAGTTATGACTTGCCATCTTATAATAAGTCCTGTCTCCTTATTACAACTTAATATCTCATATTTACAACTTAATATCTCATAATTATGACTTGCTATCTCATAGTAATGAGATTGTGTCTCATATATACAACTTAGTATCTCATAATTATGATTTGCTAACTCATAATTATGAGACCCTGTCTCATATTAACTACTTATTATCATAATTATGAATTGCTATCCTCTAATATGTTTTTCTTATTGTAAGATCTTAAGTCATAATCATAAGAATCTTTCTCATCATTATAAGACAGTAAGTCATTATTATGAGGTGCTAAGTCATAATTTTGAGAAAATTTCTCATTATTATGACATACTATATGTTTTTTCCCCAGTGGTGGAAACGGGCTTCCATAGCAAAGTTTACAGGTCATAATATGATGAAAAAGTGAAGATTCTCATTTCTGAGATCTCGCAGAAAGCCTGATTTTCACTTTTTATTTCAGCCCTGTCGGTATCAGAAACTGTAGTCATCTACAAAATTGGGATTGTTTTAAGCACTGTACCGATACTGACTTCAAAAAACAGAGACAAAAGTAAGTTCATCACAGCATTGGAAGAAAATTTATACTCTTCAGTATCTTCAATTTATAAAAGAAGGTGGTATTTTAAAGGAATACTCACATTTTTCTTAATCATTTTTAATCTTGTATGGTTGATTACCATGGACAATAACTTCAACACAGTTAGAGATGTTCACAGAAAAGAACATGAAAATGTATTTTTTTAAGTTTGTCAAATGCTGTGAATAAATATTTAAAACGTGAAGATATCACAAATTTTAAAATACAGTACAAGTGTTAAATGGGGAACTTCACTATTTTTATTTTTTTTTATTTCTACTTAGTTGAATCATTAAGATGTAAACGAAGTTATTCAGAGTGTTTTAATGTGAAGTGTTTCATTCAGAGTCAGAGTTGTTCACAGCAGCAGTGATAGGAACCAGACGTCCACTTCTAAGAACTTCCACACAGAAAGTTATTACATGAAATGGTTATGAATACACAGCCTGATGTCTAAAGTGCAAGAAAATAGAACCTTTTGAGTTTTAATTAACTGTATACAAGTTTCTGTTTGAATGATGGTTGAATTCTGTATTGAATTCGATCAAAAAGACAAAGATTTTACATTGCCTTGCACTGAAAATATAAACATATCTAGCTGGCTATGCTGGTCATGGATAGTATGGTTTATCTTTATAACCATATTATTTATTTATTTATTATTACTTTATAAAAAGTAAAATGGCTATATTTGTGTTGTAGACATCACAACCCCTGGTTCCTGTCACCACCACTGTAAAGAAATCTCTGCTATAAACCATCTCACATCAAACCACTCTGAACGACATTGTTTACATCTCAATCACGGAATCATGTCGAAATTTAGAAAAACTTTTCATTTAAGAAAC